CTTAATTTGAATGTGAGCTATGGAGAATCACTGGACGGGTATTTGGTGAAAACTGGTTTTGTGAACTCAGTTTTTGTACGTAGTGCCCCCTTGGATATGTGTCATAACTCAAATTTTAGTAGAATTTTATTTTATTTTAACTAATATGTTTTTATCTTTGTTTTTCTTGTTAGGTTCATGAGTAAAATGGGGATTTTTGTGAACGATTGGAAAGAAGTTGAAGGATGAGGGACCCAGTTGAAGAACTGAAAAGTTGAAGGGTGAAATGCATTAAAGTTCAACCCAAAACCCATTTACATCTTAAACCCATCTTAAATGGCCCAATTCGAACCCATTTCAATTTTAAGCCTTAAACCAAAAAAAAAAACCAAAATCAAAATCCAAAACCAAAGCCTACCAACTACCCAAGCCCAAAATCCCAATACCCATTTAACCCAAACCCAAAAAAACAAAAAAATAAAATAAAAAAAGAAGGTGTCTGGAACCTTCTCTTTCCCCATCAATCTTTCCTCATCAATCTTTCCTCTCTTCTGCAACCGAGCAGCCCACGCCCCCTGCCACTGCACCCGAGCCTGCAGCAGCCCACGCCCCCTGGTGCCTGCGCCCTTTTGCTGCTGCAGCTGACTCCGCCTCCCTTCTCCTGCACCCCTCGAGCCTACAGCAGCCTGCAGCAGCCTGCAGCCCCTTCTCTGCGCCGCCCCTCTTCTGCAACCAGATCCTGCAGCTGCAAAGATAGATCCTGCGCCTATGTGGCAGTCAGCCGAGCATGAGATAAGCCTGCAAGATGACATCACGCTCCAGCTTTCTTGGCTGTCCTGCAGGGCCAGTTTTGGCCTGACCCGAGCAACGGAAAAAACAAAAAAAAGAGAAAAATTGAGGGGTTTGGATGAGGAGTGAAGGGGGAGTTAGGGTTTTGTTTGAGGGGTATAAATAGGAAGGACCGGTAAAGAGAAGAGGGTTCTTTTTTTTTGTTCTTGGGTTGGTTCTCTTGGTCTGAGGTTGGGGTGTTGCTTGAGAGCAGCGGGAGGATCATTGAGCCGAGCAAGATTGTCCATTCTTTTTGGGTTTTCGTCTTAGGTATTTTCCTGCAACAGAGGAGTCTTTCTGGGGAGGCAGTGAGGGGAATGATCTGGCTTGATCTCGTGGGTGGGATCCGTCAGATCGGACTCCGATCTGTTACCCAAAAAGCTCCGCCGTGTTTGCTTCTTTTGTCTTTCTGTTTCCGTGACATGCTTTT